TGCAGCTGCTGCTGCTGCCGTTGCAGCAGCTGCTGCTGCGCCTGCTGCTGGTACCACAGCGGCAGCTGCCAGACACCAGCTCCATTGGCGTAGCCAGGCTGCTGCGGATGCTGCTGCTGCTGCTGCTGCTCCTGCAGCAGCCGCTGCTGCCGCTGCTGCTGCTCCTGATGCAGTTGCTGCAGCACTCGATTCGGAGGCGGCTGTGTATGATACAAAAACTGCTGCAGATGCTGCTGCTGCCGCAGCACATGCTGCGCATGCTGCTGCTGCGGATCCTGCTGCTGCAGATGCTGCGGATGCTGTTGCTGCTGTTGCAGATGACGCGGATGCTGCTGCTGCGGATGCTGCTGCTGCGGATGCTGCTGCTGCGGATGCTGCTGCTGCGGATGCTGCTGCGGATGCTGCTGCTGCGGATGCTGCTGCTGCGGATGCTGCTGCGGATGCTGCTGCAGATACTGCTGCTGCGGCGGTGGATGCTGCTGCGGCTGCTGATGCTGCGGCTGCTGGTGCTGCGGCTGCTGCTGCAGATGCTGCTGCTGCATATGCTGCTGCGGCAGATGCTGCTGCTGCAGATGCTGCTGCTGCATATGCTGCTGCGGCAGATGCTGCTGCTGCAGGTGCTGCTGCTGCGGATGCTGCTGCAGATGCTGCTGCTGCGGCGGTGGTTGCTGCTGCGGCTGCTGATGCTGCTGCAGATGCTGCGGAGGCTGCTGCACATGCTGCAGCTGCTGCTGCGGATGCTGCTGGTGCTGCTGCGGATGCTGCGGAGGTTGCTGCTGCTGCTGCGGACGCTGCTGCTGCTGGTGCTGCGGCTGCTGCTGCAGATGCTGCTGCTGCATATGCTGCTGCGGCAGATGCTGCTGCTGCAGGTGCTGCTGCTGCGGATGCTGCTGCAGATGCTGCTGCTGCGGCGGTGGTTGCTGCTGCGGCTGCTGATGCTGCTGCAGATGCTGCGGAGGCTGCTGCACATGCTGCAGCTGCTGCTGCGGATGCTGCGGAGGTTGCTGCTGCTGCTTCGGACGCTGCTGCTGCTGTTGCTGCTGCTGCAGACGCTGCAGCTCCTGCCGCTGCTGCTGGGCAGGGTTGATGGTGTTTGAGGTGTTTGCTGCTGCTGTGTACATGCGCAGCAGGGACTGCAGCTGCGCTTGCTGCTCGCGCTGCTGCTGCTTCCTCTCTAGGCTCTGCTTCTCTTCGAGCTGCTGCCGCTGCAGCTGCTTCCGCTGCGCCAGGTGTACTGTCAGCAGCGCCTCTTCCTGCTGCAGCAGCATTAGCGTTGAGGGGTTTTGCTGCTGCTGCTGCTGCTGCTGCTGTTGCAGCCGTTGCTGCTGTTGCTGCTGCAGCTCCTGCTGCTCCTGCTCCTCTCTCCGCGCGTGTTGCTGCTGCTGGTGCTGTTGTTGTTGTTCATGTCGTAGCACCAGCTGCTCTCGCTGTTGTCGTTGTTGTTGCAGCAGCTCCTGCAGTTGTTGTTGTTGTTGTTGTTGCTGCTGCTGCTGCTGCTGTTGTGTTTGTTGCTGCTGCTGCTGCTGCTGTTGTGTTTGTTGCTGCTGCTGCTGCTGCTGGTGTCGTTGGTTTGTTCTGTTTCTTATGGGCCGTGTTTCAGCATCAGATATCCAGGACTCCTCCTCGCTGTCTAGCTGCTGCTGCTGCTGCTGCTGCTGCTGCTGCTCCGGCTGCAGGTCGTGGTCTAGCTGCTCATGCAGCACCACCCCGCCTGGGTATTCTCGGCTGTATAGTACCTGATAAACAAACTCCCCACTAGCTTCATCGCTGCTGTCATCGCTCTCGTCTTCTTCCTCTTCTTCTTCTGCTGCTGCTGCTGCTGCTGCTGCTGCTGCTGCTGCTGGTGCTGCTGCTGCTGCTGCTGCTGCTGCTGCNCTGCTGCTGCTGCTGCTGCTGCTGCTGCTGCTGCTGCTGGTGCTGCTGCTGCTGCTGCTGCTGCTGCTGCCGCTGCTGCTGCTGCTGCTGCTGCTGCTGCTCGTTCGTTTAGTTGTTGTTGCTGCTGCTGCTGCTGCTGCTGTTCTTGGTTTTGTGTGTTTTGCTGCTGCAGCAGTTGCTGCTGCTGCTGCTGCTGCTGCTGCTGCTGCTGCTGCTCTTCTTCCTCATCCTCCCAGTCCTCCTCTTCTTCTTCCTCCCACCCTTCTTCTTCTTCTTCTTCTTGGTGGTAGTGGTGGTGGGGTTGTTGTTGTTCTTCTTCTTGCCCCTCCTCCTCCTCCTCCTCCTCCTCCTCCTCTTCTTCTTCTTCGTAGCGGCGGTGGTGGTGGTGGTGGTGGGGTTGTTGTTGCTGTTGCTGTTGTTCTTCTTGACCCTCCTCCCCCTCCTCCTCCTCCTCCTCCTCTTCTTCTTCTCCGTAGTTTTGGCGGTTGTAGTGGCGGTGGTGGTGGTGGTGGTGGTAGTGGTGGGGTTGTTGTTCTTCTTCTTCTTGGTGGTGGTGGTGGTGGTGGTAGTGGTGGGGTTGTTGTTGTTGTTCTTCTTCTTGGTAGTACCCATCATAAACATAGCCATCATCATCACCATCATATTCATATTCTTCTTCTTCTTCTTGGTTTTGTTGCTGCTGCTGCTGCTGCTGTTGTTGCTGCAGATCGTCGAGGGGCAGCAGCAAGTTACAGCTGCTGCTGCTTCTGCTGCTGCTGCTGCTGCTGCTGCGGCAAAGTCTGTAGTTTATAGTTTGCTGCTGCTGACTTGCTGCTGCTGCATCGTCTGATGCCTCATCATCTGAGTATTCACCTTCTTGCTGCTGCAGCTCCTCCTCTTCTTCGCTCCACAGCTGCTGCTGCTGCTGCTGCTGCTGCTGCTGCCTCCTGCTGCTGCTGCAAGAAGCATCAGCATAATAATACTCCTCCTGCTCCTCTGAGCTCTCACGCGAAAGCGACGCCGAGCATGCAGCTGGCGGCAGCCAGTTGCTGCTGCAGCTCCTCTGGCTGCTGCTGTTGCTGCTCCAGCTGCTGTTGCTGCTGCTTCTCCCTCGAGGGGAAGCTTCTTCAGCAGCAAACGCAGCAGCAGCAGCAGCACTGCTGGCAGCAGCAGGTGCTGACACGCGCGCAGCACAACGAGGAGGAAGAGCACCACCCCGCGTTCTGCTTCTGCTGCTGCTGCTGCTGCTGCTGCTGCATCTGCTCAGCTGCTGCTGCTCGTCATCCGAGTCAGCTTCACTCTCTGCAGCAGACGAAGCATAGTTGCTTTGTTCCTGCTGCAGCTGCTGCTGAAGCACTCGCTGCTGCTCCTGCACTTGTTGCTGCAGCACCAGCAGCTGCTGGTACTGCTGTTGCTGCTTCCGAGACCCCCCCATCGGTGCAGCAGTGTTCGCTTGCGTCAGCAGCAGCAGCAGCTGCATCTGATCTGCAAGCCCCCTGCGGAGTGTATAGAGATCTTGCTGCTGCTGCACAGGGCGTTGCTGCTGCTGCTGCTGCTGCTGCTGCTTTTTCTGCATGTGCTCAGCGATTTGCTGCAGCAGTTGCTGCTGCCTCTCCAACACCTCTTGCTGCTCCTCCCCCCCCACGCACTCTGTCTCTTGCAGCAGCAGCCCCTCCTCCTGCTGCCCCTGCTGCCCGAGACGGAGCAGCTGCTGCTCCTGCTGCTGCAGCTGCAGCGCCAGCTCTGTCTGCAGCTGGTGCTGCTGCTCGCGCAGCTCTTCTCTCTCCCAGTGCACCTTCTGCAAGGCTTCACTGGGCGTTTGCTGCTGCTGCTGCTGCTCCTCCTCCTCCTCCTGCTGCTGCTGCTGCTCCTTTGCTTTCTGCTGCTCAGACAGCCGCGTCAGCCTCCTGAAGAGCCCCACCAAAGTTATCTCCTCGTGCTGCGCATGCTTCGGCAGCGGCTTGCGCAGCAGCAGCTGCTGCTGCTGCTGCTCGCACCGCTGCTGCTGTGAAGGGGGAGGGGAGACAGCACGCCCGCGGGCAGAGTTGAAGGTGATGGCGTTTCTGGTGCTGCAGCTGGCGCGGTGCTGCAGCAGCACCAGCAGCTGCTGCTGCATGTGGTCGAGCCGCAGCTGCACTGTCTTGACGCGTGTTTCCAGCTGCTGCTGCTGCTCCTTGTGCCGCAGGTGTATGAAGTCTATGTACTCGAGTTCAGTATCAGATTCAACCTGCTGCTGCTGCTGCTGCTGCTGCTGCTCTTGCTGCTGCTCTTGCTGCTGCTCTTGGTCTTGCTGCTGCTCGAGTTCGTCCTCCTCCTCCAGCAGCAGCAAATGCTTCTCTTGCTGCTGCTGCTGCTGCTCCAAGTCCGTAATAAGTAGATGCTGGCGCAGCAGCTCCTCCTGCTGCTGCCGCCCCACTCTCTCTGAAGCAAGTAAGCCGAGGAAAGCGAGCTCTGTTACTTCTGCAGCAGATAGTTTTGCTATTGCTGCTTCTGCTGCTGCGTCTTCTTCGTCTTCTTCTTCTGCTTCTGCTGCTGCTAGTGTTGCTGCTAGCTCGTTTTCTGCTGCGGCTGCGTTTGATGGTGAGGAGAGAGACTCGTATTCTGTTGCAGCAGAAGCTTGTGCTGCTGCTGCTGCTGCTGCTGGTGCTGCTGCTGCTGCTGGTGCTGCTGCTGCTGCTGCTGCAGCATCAGCATCAGTTGGTGTTTGTTTTGCTGTATCAGCATCGGAAGCAGCAGCAGCAGCGTCTGCTTCTGCTGCTGCATCTTGCTGCTGCTGCTGCTGCTGCTGCTGCTGCTGCTGCCAGCAACCCCTGCGAACGTTTAGGATGGAGGCGTGGTTCTTTGCTGCTACCAGCCTGAGCCTGCATTCTTCTTTTTTCTGTGGCGGGGCTGCAGAGTAAGCAACAGAGGCCCGCAGCAGCTCCATGAGAGGCACGTGAGGTGGTATCAGCTGCTGCTGCTGCTGCTGCTGCTGCAGCTGCAGCTGCTGCTGCTGCTGCTGCAGCTTCTGCTGCTGCTCCCGCTGCTTCTGCTTCAAGAAAGCAGTAAGATCAGCAGCGATGGTGCAGGTGCGGTCGAGAGCAGCAAGAGCATCAGCAGACAGAGGCCCACTGGCGTCTAGCAGTTGCTGCTGATGCTCCTCGCTTTGCTGCTGCAGCAAGAGCTGCAGCTGCTGCAGCTGCTGCAGCTGCAGCTGCCACTCTCTATAACATCTACCCATCATACGCATCTCAGTAGCTGTAAAGAAGCGGGGGCGGATAGCAAACCCGAGAATAACAGCAGCAGTAGCAGCAGCATCAGCACTGTGTGCTGCAGCAGCAGCAGCACCCGGGTCACTAACTGCTGCTTCGGGGTGTTTGTAGGTCCCCTTGGGTGCAGCAGCAGCAGCAGCTGCATGCGAATACAGCTGTGGGGTGGAGGGGAAGAAGCTGTATTGCTGCTGCTGCTGCTGCTGCTGCTGCTGCTGCTCCTGCAGCCTCCACTGCTGCTGCTGCAGCTGCAGCCTTGGCCGCGGCAGCAACTCACACCGCGGCAGCAGAGGCATATCGAATCCCGCATCCAAATGCTTAAGAAACACAGGTATATACCTGTCCTGCTGCTGCTGCTGCTGCTGCTGCAGCTGCTGCAGTTGCTGCTGCTGCAGTTGTTGCTGCTGCAGTTGTTGCTGCTGCAGTTGTTGCTGCTGCAGTTGTTGCTGCGATTGCAGTTGTTGCTGCTGCTGCAGTTGTTGCAATTGCTTCAGTTTTTGCAGCAGTTGCCGTAGCTGTTGCTGCTGTCCCTGTTGTTGCTGTTGCTGCGGTTGTTGCTGTTGCTGTTGCTGCTGTTGCTGCTGCACCGCTTGCTGCATTCCTGGGGCCGTCGCCGCCAACACAGCTTCATGTTGCTGCTGCTGCTGTTCTTGTTGCAGCGGCACTCGTTGCTGCTGCTGCAGCAAGTCACACGAAGGGCCATTTGCTGCTGCAGCAGGCACGCTGCAGGCTGTGTTAGCTCTCCAACTGCTATTCTGCTGCTGCTGCTGCTGCTGCTGCTGCTGTTGCTGCGTTTGGTGCTGCTCTCTTTTAATCGGCTGCTCCTGCTGCAATAGCTCCTGCTGTCGGTCGCGCTGCAGCAGCAACTTCTGCTGCAACTGCTGCTGTTGCAGCAGCAGCTGCTGCTGAAACTGCAGCTGCTGCTGCTGCTGTAACTGTAGCTGCTGCTGTTGCTGCTGCTGCTGCAGCAGCAGCTGCTGCTGCTGCAGCAGTTGCTGCTGCCGTTGCTGCAGTTCCTGCTGCTCCTGCTTCATCTCCTGCTGCCGCTCCTCCTCATCCTCCGCCTGCACCTCCTGCGACAGCTCCAGCTGCTGCTGCTGCTGCCGCAGTTGCAGCTGCTGCTCCTGCAGCTGCTGCTGCTGCTGCTGCTGCTCCTGTTCCTGCAGCTGGTGCTGTATCTGCTGCACTTCCAGCAGCAGCAGCTGCTGCTGCAGCTTCTCCTTCTGCTCCTGCAGCTGCCGTTGCTGCTGCTTATGCTCATGCTGCTGCTTGTACTGCTGCTGCTGCAGCTTCTCCTTCTGCTCCTGCAGCTGCTGACGCTGCTGCTTATGCTCCTGCTGCTGCTGACGCTGCTGCTTATGCTCCTGCTGCTGCTGACGCTGCTGCAGCTCCAGCCGCGCCTGGAAACGTTGCATATCCTGCCCGTGCCGCTGCAGCTCGTGCAGATCCTCCTTCTGCTGCTGCATGTGAAGCTGCTGCTGCTCCCGGTCCCGTTGCAGCTGCTCCTCCTGGCGCTGCTGCGCCAGCTTCTGCTGCTGCTGCATTCGCTGCAGGTGCAGCTGCACCTGATGATGCTGCTCACTCTCCTGCTGCAACCGCTTGACCTGCTGCTGCAGCTCCTCCAGCTGCAGCTGCTGCTGCTGTGGCTGCTGCTGCTGTTGCAGTTGCCGTTGTTCTTGCTGCTCGTGCCGCTGCTGCTGCTGCTGCTGCTGCTGCTGCTGCTGCTGCTGCTGCTGCTGCTGCTGCTGCTGCTGCTGCTGCTGTTCCTGTTCCTTGCTCCGGGTCTTGCGCAGCAAGAGGTCGAGGATAAGCCTATGGTGCTCTTGCAGCGGCGGCGGCGGGCGGCTCCACCTCTCCTTCTGCTCCTCTTGGTATTCTCTCTGGCGCTGCTGCTGCCTCAGCCTGCCTTCTTCGCAGTAGCACAGGGCCCACGTCTTGCCGTTGCAGCGGGAGAAGTGCGCCACTCTTGGTGCTGCTGTGGGGTCGTTTTGCTGCTGCTGCTGCTGCTGCTCCTCATGCTGCTGTTTCTCCTCCTCCTGCTGCAGCTCATCATGCTGCTGCTCCTCCTCCTGCTGCAGCTCATCATGCTGCTGCTCCTCCTCCTGCTGCAGCTCATCATACTGCTCTTCCTCCTCCTGCTGCAGCTCATCATACTGCTCTTCCTCCTCCTGCTGCAGCTCCAGCTGCTGCAGCCCATCATACTGCTGCTCCTCCTCCTGCTGCAGCTCCAGCTGCAGCTCATCATACTGCNGCTGCTGCAGCCCATCATACTGCTGCTCCTCCTCCTGCTGCAGCTCCAGCTGCAGCTCATCATACTGCTGCTCATCCTCCTCCTGCTGCAGCTCATCGTGCTGCTGCTGCTCCTCCTGCTGCAGCTCATCATGCTGCTGCTCGTCATGCTGCTGCTCCTCCTCCTCCTGTTGCAGCTCCTCATGCTGCTGCTGCTGCTGCTCCTCCTCCTCCTCCTGCTCCGAGTTGCAGCTCTCGTCAGCAAAGGAAAGAAAGTATGGTGTTTCTGCTCCATCTATGCTGCTTTCGCTGCTTTCGCGGCTGCTGGGGGGCATTGCCTGGTGCTGCTGCTGCTGCTGAAGCTGCCGCTGACGCCGGAGCCTTCCTTGCTGCTGCTGCCGGTGTTGCTGCTCATGCTGCTGCTCCCCCTCCTCCTTCTCATCCTGCCCCCGCTGCTGTGGCATGTCGTGCTGCTGCGTCAGCTGCTGCTCTTGCTGTGACAGCAGGTGCAGCTGCTGCCGTACCTGCTGCAGCTGCTGCAGCTGTTGCAGCTGCTCCAGCTGCTGCGGCGTTTGCTGCTGCCGCTCCTGCCGCTGTGGCACCTGGCGTTGCTTCGTCTGCTGCTGCAGTTGCTGCTGCTCCTGCAGCCGCATCTGCTGCTGCTGTGGCACCTGCTGCTGCTCCACCGGCTGCCGCTGCTGCTGCTGCTGCTGCTGCTGCTGCTNGCTGCTGCTGCTGCTGCTGCTGCTGCTGCTCGGTGTCCCTATACAGGAGGCCTGCGCCGTCTGTCCTCACTGCCTGCAGCATATCTCTGTTTAGCTGCTGCAGCTGCTCCCTCTTGCTGCGCTGCAGCAGCACCCGCTCCTCGTGCTGCTGCTTGAACTCTTGCGGGATCGGCACGGGCAAGAAGGGGCTGCAGCAGGAGCACATGGTGCACCCTGTCACGTGCTGCTGCTGCTGCGGCGGCTGCTGCTGCTGCTGCGGCGGCGGTGGCGGCGGCTCCTGCAGCAGCCACGGTAGTTGCTGCCACTGTAGCTGCTGCGGTAGCTGGTGCTGCGGTAGCTGCTGCAGCGTGAGCTGCTGCAGCAGCTGCTGCTGTAGCTGCTGTAGGTCTGCAGCACCCAGATATGTGTCGTTGTGGTGGCGCAGCATCGGCAGCTGGAGAGCTGATGCTTGCTGCTCCTCCAGGTAGTAGTTGTACAGCTGCTGCCGCATGTTATGCATCTGCTGCTGCTGCTCCTGCTGCAGCTGCTGCGCCTCCTCCTCGCGCTGCTGCTGCTGCTGCTGCTGCGCCGCTTGCTGAGAGCGGTGGTGAGGGGCCCGGGCCCCATGGGCGATATCTGTCCCCCTGGCTGGCATATTGAGGCGGTTGCCTTGCTGCTGCTGCTGCTGCTGCTGCTGCTGCTGCTGCTGCTGTTGCTGCTGGTGATGTTGCCCCCGTTGTGCCTCTGCGTGATCGTGCTGCTGCTGCAGCATCAGGAACTGCTGCTGCTGCTGCTGCTGCTGCTGCTGCTGCTGCTGCAGGGCCTCGTGTGTGTCCGAGAAGGCCGCGCCAGGCCTCACCGCCCCCCAGTCTGTTTCGCAGTCAATGAGGGGATGGCGAATACCCTGGAGAGGTTGGCTGGGGGCTTCATGCGATAGGCGCTGCTGCTGCTGCTGCTGCTGCTGCTGCTGCTGCTCGGGTTGCTGCTCCTGCTGCACGGGTTCTTGCAGCAGCTGCAGCTGCTGACCCCATGTGCTTTCAGAAGGAGTTTGGAGATCCGGCAGAGAGGAACAGAAAGAGGGAATAGCTTCAACTCGGCCCAGTTGCTGCTCCTGCTGGCTGTGCTGCTGCTGCTGCTGCTGCTGCTGCTGCTGCTGCTGCTGCTGCTCCTGCCCCTGTTCCTGCTCTTGCTGCTGTTCGCAGGAGAGGAATGGAGACTGACTGTGGTAGAAACACAGGTCCATTGCCGCGGGGTCTTGATAATCTGTCATTTTGACGCGTTAAAAGCGCTGAAACTGCTGCTACTGCTGCTACTGCTGCTGCTGCTGCTGCTGCTGCTGCTCCTGCTTCGCCTGCTGTGGCTAGCTGGAGGACCGGCGGTGCTTGCGGTGTGTACGAGGCTTCTAAATTCCCTAAATACTCGAGAGTTTGTAAATATGCTTGCAGGAACAGTGAAGCGTGCTGCAGCTCGGGTTCTACTGCTACTGCTGTTGCTGCTGTTGCTGCCGCTGCTGCTGCTGCTGCTGGTGCTGCGCCTGTGCAGGGTCTGGTGCCTTCGGCGGGTCCCCTTGAAAGACGACAGAGACAAAAAGCAAGACCTGGATAAAAGGCCAAGTTTTGCTGCAGAATGTGCTGGTTTGTTGCTGCTGTTGCGGCTGCTGCTGCACTGCTGCTGCTGCTGCTGCTGCTGCTGCCGACCGTGACCTGGGTGGGCGCGTGCGGCTTGCTGCTGCTGCTCCGGTGGCGGGTGTGGTTCCCTGCCGGTGAATGCGATTGCAAAAAAGTCTAAAAGTAGTAAATAGAGAATTAAACTTGTTTAACAAGTACAGAAACTCTCCAATATGCAGCAGCAACGCCAGCAGCAGAAGGAGAGCAGCACAGAGCAGGGGCCACAGCCAGCGCTTGCAGCTATGGGCAGGGGCCGTCTGTGTTGTTTTAGGTCTATTTGGTGTATAGACAAAGAAGAAGAAAGAAATCAACAGAGTTTAAGCAGCAGAAGAAGCTGTAAAGAAGAAGAAATGCTGCAGCAACAGCAACACTCGATCGTGTTGTGCTGCAACAGCAGTGCAGCAGCTCTGGCAGAGCACAGCGTACACATTCATATGTAGTTTCTAGCTTGGCTCTATGGAGGAAAGCAAGAAAACAGAGAAAAAGAGTCAGTTGTTAGCTGTAATACACAGATGTATTGTATACAAATATGATAAACAAACACTTGTGTTGATGCAGAAAACATGAAACAGCTGCAGCAGCAGCAGCAGCAACAGCTCACCGAGCAGTCGGCAGCGGCAGCGCCTCGCCACGCCCGCAGCAAGCCACGCAAGCTCCGATCACGCCGGGCCCTGCTGAACAGCTCGATGGATTAAATTAATTAAATAACCTCATTTAATTTCATTAATTATTTAAATTTACTAAATCATTTACACTTTTCCACTTTAAACGGAAAAAAAAGAATAAAAAATGCCTTATGAGCTGTTATACACAAACCGTGCAGGCACCCCGACCCCCCAAACCTCGTCGGTGCTCCTTCTTTTCCTGTCTTCCCCTTTCTCTGTTCTTTTGTTTGTTATCTTCTGTTTTTCTTTGTATTTTAAACAATAAATGCGATTTAAATGAAGGGTTTACGGCTCAAATGCAGCAACAAACGGCAGCAATAGATACAGCGCCCAGTAGTGTAGAGCTCTCGCCTCGGCCTCGCCTACACAGGGTGCTGCTGCAGCTCATCTTGTATTTCTTTGTTTCGTGTTTGTTTTCATCATATTTGTTTAATATTTTATATTATATTCTATGTTTTTTGTTTACTTTTTTTTCTCATATTTCTTTCTCCTCTATAGTAACTCCTCAGCCTCGCTGGGGCCCGTCTCCCTGTTGCGTTTCTCTGTGTCGTCTGTGTACAACGCAGCAGCAGCAGCAGCAGCAGCAACAGCAGCAGCAGCAGCAGCAGCACGATCCTCGGTGTTTCTTGCATTTTAAATTCTTTTTTCCTACACAAAAAAACATTTATTAAGATGGAGGAAGCAGCACAAAAAGCTGTTGCTGCTATCAGAGGCGGAGACGCAGCAGCAGCACAACAAATCCTCGGCTCCTTACATTCCCCCCATGTGCTCCACGCCCTACAAACCACCAAGCAGCTAGGCAACGAGGCTTTCAGGTCCAAACCCTAAACCCTAAACCCTAAACCCTAAACCCTAATTAGTGAGCAAGATACGAGAAACGATAAACTGGAGAAACACGCATTCAGAAACCCTAAGCAGCAAACTCTGAAACCTCTTCTTTGAGGCTGATCCACAAACCCTAAACCCTAAACCCTAAACCCCAAACCCTGAACAATAAACCCTAAACCACACGCAAGAAGCAGTGAACAATAAACATATAAGAAACAAGAAACAATAAACAATAAACATTAAACAATAAACAAACAACTCGAAAGCCAGACATTCACCTACATCTCCCAAACCCTAAACCCTAAACCCTAAACCCTAAACGCCCGCACATTTCTGCGCGTTTCAAGAAGAGACACGCTTCAACGGCAGCGCAGGATCAGATAAACTTCTTCTTCTTCTTCTTCTGCTGCTGCTGCTGCTGCTGCTGCTGCTGCCGCCTGCTTTGCTGCTGCATCTCAGGGCAGGGAAGTATACAGAGGCTCTGAACCACTACAGGGAAGCCATCACGGGCTACAGATACCTGCAGCCCAATCAACAGCAGCAGCAGCAGCAGCAGCAGCAGAAGCAGCAGAAGCAGCAGCAGCAGCAGCAGCAGCAGCAGCAGCAGCAGCAAGACAAAGAGTGGCGTGAGCAGCTGCAGCAGCTGCATTCAAACTGCAGCGCCTGTTTTGCTGCTCTTAACAAATATGATGAAGCGCTGGAGGCTGCTAGAGAGTGCATCCGCCTCAACGCCAATTGGCCCAAGGTGTCTATACACCTCGTCACTGCTGCTGCTGTTGCTGCTGCTGCTGCTGTTGCTGCTGCTGCTGTTGCTGCTGTTGCTGTTGTTGCGGCTGCTGCTGCTGTTGCTGCTGCTGCTGCTGTTATTGCTGCTGCTGCTGTTGCTGCTGCTGCTGTTGCTGCTGCTGCTGTTGCTGCTGCTGCTGTTGCTGCTGCTGCTGCTGCTGTTGCTGCTGCTGCTGTTGTTGCTGCTGCTGCTGTTGTCTCTAAGTTTGTCTCTGCCTTCGTCTTTCTTCTGTCTTTTTTCCTGTCTCCGTCTGCGTCTCTGCCTTTGACTCTGTTCCCGTTTCTGTATTTGTTTCTCTCTTTGTCTTTTCCTCTGTTTTTACTTTTGTCTCTATCTTCGTTTTTTTCTTTTTGTCTTCGCCTCTGCTTTTGTCTCCTTCTTTGTCTCAGCTTTTCTGTGTTTGTTTATGTTTGCTGCTTCTTCTCTTTTCGTTGCTCTTCTTTATCCTTGCCTCGCACGGGTTTCTATGTTCCTTTGTGGCGGCTCTGTGTCTCTTGCCGTTGCTGCTGCTTCTGCTGCTGCTGCTGCTTCTGCTGCTGCTGCTGCTTCTGCTGCTGCTGTTGCTGCTACTGCTGCTGTTGCTGCTACTGCTGCTGCTTCTGCAGGGGTGGTATAGAGCAGCACGCGCTCTGTATGGGCAACAGCAGTACGCTGCTGCCCTTAAGGCCTTCCAATGGGCCCAGAAGCAGCAGCAGCAGCAGCAGCAGCAGGAGCAGCAGCACCAGCAGGGAGACAGCATTGCAGTATGGATAGAAAGAAGCAAAGACAAACTCGAGCAGCAAAAGAGACGCATGCGCTGCAGCACAGATTACAGCAGATTTCAGCATCTGCTGCAACAAGAAAATGATGAAGAAGTGTCAGGCAGCATCCCCTGCTGCTGCTGCTGCTGCTGTTGCTGTTGCTGTTGCTGCTGCTGCTGTTGCTAGTCCTGTTGCTTGTGCTGCTGCTGATCGGCTACCCTATTGATTGTGCTGCCATCCTGCTGCTCTCTCCAGTGTTTGCTGCTGCTGCTGCTGCTGTCCCGGGGATTCTGCTGCTCTCGAGTTTCGTTCTTCCAAATGGTTCATTGCACTGCTGCTGCTGCTGCTGTTGCTGCTGCTGCTGCTGCTGCTGCTGCTACGCCTGCATGCAGGGAAGCAGCAGCAGCAGCAGCAGCAGTGGGAGATGTCGGCGGACCCTCCTTAGAATTTGCTGCCACAACGTCTGAGGAACAGCGACGCCAAATAGAGGCATTATTGACAGGTACTGCAGCAGCAGCTGCTGCTGCTGCTGCTTCCCTTGCTGCTGCTGCTGCTGCTGCTGCTGCTTCCCT